CATGGAGATATAAACAGCTTTTTATAAGGTAAAAATAATAAAACAAGGTCTTTGTCTGCAATGATTAGACATGTTTTTTTTATAATTGTCATTAGTGATTATCTCAATTTCGGCTAAAAGAATTGACAAAATCCTACACACTGTGCCTTTAAAGAAGAACCTGTCCAGAGGACTTACTTATTTTTCTTTTTGAAAAGTATCTAAAGTAATCCTGAGCTACCCATGTAGTTATGGCACTGAGGGAAATACTGACCACATTTCTTCATTCTGCTACTGTGGTCTTTGCTCTCTGTACTCTCTGTGCTTGTATTTAGAATTCAGAGGTCTATAAAGCACTTAAAAAAATTAACTACTGTATTTATTCATGTATAATAGGATCTCAAGTATAATCTGATCATCATTTTTGGAGCTTAAAAAGCATAAAAAACCTAATCATCAATAACCTGTGTATAATACTACCCCCCACTTTATGGATGACTTTTAGGGTTAAATTCTAGTATTATACATGAATAAATACAGTAAGTAAAAGCAAAATTACATGGGCATAAAATGACTTTGATAAAAATAAATTTCACTGACGAGAAAACTACTCAAGTAAAAGTCATAAAACTGTTCACAAAATTTGGGAAAGTAAAAGTAAAAGTACTTTTCCACACTCTCTAAGAAATAAACTGTTGAATTTACTGAACCAAACTAGTTCCACTAAGTCAGATTGAGTAAATTGAGCAATATATGTTCATTCTTTGCTTAATTTACTCGACTAGGCTTAGTGGAGCCAGATGGCATGCCTTTGTTAAGTAAATTCAACACTTCATTTTTTGAAGTGCAGAAACATCTTTTTTCATGATGAGTTCCAACATGTTTAATTTTGCAACAAGTAACTGTGTGTTAAATTTTAAAGTAAAGAAGTAAAAGTATAATTTTTAGCTTTAAAATGTAACAAAATAATAGTAAAAGTAGCTATTTAAAAACATAATTGGTATAATTACAAATCCTCAAAAAACTACTTAAGTACTGTAACAAAGTAAATGTACTTAGTTACTATAAACCTTTGTTGAACGTTGGATTGTCTTTTTGTTGTTCTTCCTACAAAAACTACCTGGTAGTTTAACCCTGGTCCAATACTTCTGTTTGTCTCCATCTCTGACCTCATTGGATGGGTTGTTCCAAAATGTAATTTCCCTTTAGATCAATAAAGTATTTTGAACTGAATTGAATTGAACTGAATTGAATTGAACTACGCCCAGCTGGTTAAGGCGGATGGCTACTCATCCTTGTTCTGGTTCTGCTGAAGGTTTGTTCTCTAAGTCTGTCCTCTCCACTGTTCCCCATTATCCTTGCTCAAAATGGGGGTCTACACTGAGGTGAAATTTATATGCATTGTTGTATTATAACTGGACTGAATTAAATATAACTACATTGAAATTTGATTTTGAACCAAATTGGTTTAATAATGATTCACTTTTCTTTTCCTGAGAGGACTTTTGTCGTGAACCGGTTCTATATAAATGAAATTATTAAAAGAAATATTTTTTTTATATTTTCCTGTGATGCTCACCCACACTGTTCCTAACAGGTGACTAGTGTCCCTTCTCATCTTTCCTCCATGTTTCCCTGCAGAGGGATGTATCAGGAGGCTGGACGCTTAGGAAAAGGAGCTGTACTGTAGCTAACAGATGGTCATCAGGACATGGCTTACATAGCAGCACACGCACACACACACACACACACACACACACACAC